ACAGTTTGTCAGCACATTTCCTCTTAAACCGCTGCACAGAATTTGGTCAATCTCTGCAGATATTTAGTACACAGTGTGTAGATGTGCATATTACCAGGAAATTCTGATTCCATTATTTTTTCTGGGAATTTCGGCACTTTTCAACTTAGGTTTTTGGCCATATCTTGAATATAGAGATGAACAGTTTGTCAGCACAACTCCTCTTAAACCGCTGCACAGAATTTGGACAAACTTTGCAGATATTTAGTACACAGTGTGTAGATGTGCATGTTACCAGGAAATTCCGATTCCATTATTTTTGCCTTAAGAGTTTTGCCTTTTATTGAAGAAACTTTCCAACTAGGTAATAAGAAACTCCACTGGAATCAGCTTTTTATAATGAAATTCTATGTGAAATATTTTATGACCTTAAAAGACCCCTATTGATTTTGAGATCAAAATGTTAATGGTTTAACACAAACACACACTCACACACACACCATCTTCGATAGTTCTCCCCCCCCCCCCCCTTCAAATTGGTGTGCTTTGCCTTAAATAATTTCATAAGTACAGTATATAAACAGATTCATATGACTACATCATAATTTTGTTTCCATCAATTATTTCAATGTGTAAACTGTCATGTGTTGGACATGGACTTACACTCATTAACAAATCGAAATCACTGAGGAATTTAAATAACAGTTTGTCAGCATAATTCCGGCACTGAATTTCCTGAAACTTTGTAGGTATTTCAGAATAATGTATAGATTTGTATATTACCAAGAAATTTTTTGATTCCATTATTTATCTAGAAACTTCAGCCCAGTTAAATTTGTAACATACAAAGATTTGAATGTCCTTATATGCAAGAAGTTTTGATGTGATGATTTTTTGCAAGTAATGCCCCTTTTTTGAATTATACTGTGTATTTAAAATGCACTGTGCCATTCATTACGTGTTGCATTGTCGAGTTTTGGGGAAGCGTGGGGTATGTGAGCTTGCTCACTTTTTCTTTCATTTTATTTCTGTGAAGAATCTATAAGCATCGAATGTTATCGAATGATTATTTTAGGTAATATAAATGATGAACTCCCGTTCAATTGCTTGTGGACGTAAACCTCTACCCCCTCCCCTGGAAAGCCCCCGGAAGTTTGTGATTTTCCGCGGTTTTGAACATCTTACATAAAATTCGTTTTATGCAAGATTTTCAAAACCGAAAGAGGGGATGGGGGTTATGTTTTGTTTTTTCATATTATCCCGGAAGTCCCCATTTTTGAGCTTATTGGAAAATACGGTATAAAAGACATAATACCCTTCAATACTTATATTGAACAATGTCAGATATATAGCAATTGCAATATATTTCTAATTATTTTTTTCTGAAAAGACAAAATAAAATAGAGACTAATCGGTCTCAAAATATTATGGATATTTGATGAAATTTACTAAATACCCCCCCCCCCCCCAGTTAATGTGAATTTAAGTGTAAAAGAGAAGGTGAGTGTCACGGAGTGCACTGATGCCGTGTATCTGTGTATGAAGTTTATACAAAAATGTTTTCTTCTTCGTAAAAGCTTAATTCACAAAAGATGAAAAGATAGAATACAGCAATGACCGGCGCTGTGTTTTCGGGTCCAAATCTACATATGAATACTTATTAACTTGAATGAAAATTAAACGAAGAAATAATGACCCAATGCTATCAAGCTTGCGTAGTGCGCCATATGGTTGAGAGATTGCCTAAGAGCTCATTAGAATGTAACCAAATTTAGTATGCTATATATATACAGGGCAAAATTCGGGACAAAACAGCGGTAGATGTCGAAGATTAAAATTTTATGAAGGAAACAAAGTGATTTATTGAATGTTTTAGAGCCACCGCTCTTAAAAGATATCATTCCTCCTTAAAATCACAGATATACAAGTATATGTACGTTTTAGTTTAAGAACATTGGTTGCATGTTTTGTTTTTATACCCCCGTAATCGAAGATTCGGGGGCATATAGTTTTTGCCCTGTCCGTCCGTCTGTCTGTCTACCTGTCTGTCTGTCTGTTTGTCCGCAAAAACTTTAACCTTGTCCATAACTTTTGATTGATTGGAGCTATGGCTTTCGTATTTCACGTGTGTATTCCTTGTTACAAGACCTCTCTTTGGGTACCATAAAATTTGACTTTTTGACCTTGACCTTGGAGTTTGATCCACTTTTGCTAAATTTTTTTCAGACTTTAACCTTGGCCATAACTTTTGAATAGTTGGTGTTAGGGCTTTCAAACTTCACATGTGTATACCTTGTGACAAGATCTTCCTTTGGATACCAACAACTTTGACCCGTTGACCTTGACCTTGGAGTTTGACCTACTTTTGCAAGACTTTAACCTTGGACATAACTTTTGTACGGTTGGTGCTAGGGCTTTCATAATTCACATATGTAAGTCTTGTGACAAGACCTTCCTTCTGATACCAACAACTTTGATCCTTTGGCTTTGACCTTGGAGTTTGACCTACTTTTGCAAAACTTTAATCTTGGCCATAACTTTTGTACGGTCGGTGCTAGGGCTTTCATACTTCACATATGTAATTCTTGTGACAAGACCTTCCTTCTGATACCAACAACTTTGATCCTTTGACCTTGGAGTTTGACCTACTTTTGAAAAACTTTAACCCTGGCCATTACTTTTGAATAATTGGTGCAAGGGCTTTCATACTTCACATATGTATCCTTGGGACAATACCTTCCTTTGGATACCAACTTTGACCCTTTGACCTTGGAATTTGACCTACTTTTGAAAGATTTTAACCTTGGCCATAACTTTTGAACAGTTGTTGCTAGGGCTTTCATATTTCACATGTGTATTTCTTGTGAGAAGGCTTTTCCTTGTGCACCATTTATTTTGACCATTTGAACTTGACCTTGATGTTGACTTACTTTTGAAAAACTCTAACCTTTTCCATATCTATTCAATGGTTGCTGCTAGTGTTTTCATATTTCACAGGTATATTCCTCGAGACAAGACCTTACTTTGGGTACCAACATATTTGATAAAAGCATTTCAGAAAGTTTAGCCTTTGTTATGAGTTGCCATACGGGGGCATCAGTGTTTCACAAACACATCTTGTTTTAATTCTGTTTTCTGTTTGCTTCCTACGGGTGTGCTCCCCAACTTATTTTTCAAATGACGAAATGACAAATCAATATAGGTCTACCCCTCTATATTATAAAATCAAGTTGATTTTACTGTAGAAAGGGGTAGACCAATATACATTTATAGACATCATTTCGTCATTCACAAAAGTAGATGGGGGGTGCCTATTGCATGGGGACAAATGAAACCTTTACACTTCAGCGTTGACCATAGATCACGTATACATGTACTATGAAACTGATTTATGTCTTTTGTATAAAAATAAGTGAAATGATTTTATAAGTTATATCATTAATTTTTGATATGAAGTCCAAGTTAACCAGAAAGATTTAGATATTATACTAGGATATCTAAAGAACATAACCCAATCTCGATTTCTCTGATTTACACAAATATGTGTTTTTTTTTCAACAGATCTAGTAAATGTTCGGCCAAGGCCCTATCCTTGCTCCTCACAAAAATATTAACAGCTTTGAAAGAGAAATTTCAAACGTATTGTACTACCACATATTCAAGAAGTGGTATAAATGAGATGTGGATTCTAAAAAAAACTCCAAAGAATTTTTTGGAAAATTTAAAATCTCAAAACTTTTCAACCATCAATAGCATCAAAACACACGGCTTTTCTACGCTTTATAAAACCATTCCTCTCAAAATGTTAAAGCATAGGCTTTTGACATCATGGACAACTGCTTCCTCAATAAAATAAATTTTCATATCTTGTGATTGGTCATCTACAAATATACTTTGTTAAAAATCATTCTGGTTCTACTCACAAGTACTCTAAAGTTGATATTAAAAAGATGCTGCAGTTCTCGTTGACAATATAGTCTTGGAGATCAGGTCTTCCAACAATCTGTTGGAATTTCAATGGAAAATAATTGTGCTCCTTTATTAATATTCTTTTGAAGCAGAATTTATTCAAAAACTTTTACATGAGAAGAAAACCCTTGCTGTGGCCTTCAACTCAACATTTAGATATATCGACAACATTTTATCAATTAACAATAGTTACTTTCATTCGTATGTCAACTCGATATATTCTACTGAACTCGAAATAAAAAAAACCCCTTGCTGTGGCCTTCAACTCAACATTTAAATATATCGACAACATTTTATCAATTAACAATAGTTACTTTCATTCATATTTCAACTCGATATATTCTACTGAACTCGAAATGAAAGACACTACAGAGTCTGCCACATCTGTTTTATGATAGGAAGTTTTACTGGGAATTTAGGCAAAAATAACAAACTATAATAACTAAACTGCAGGACAAAACGGAGGACTTCAGCTTTATCATCGTCAACTGCTCTTATTTATGTAATAATATTCCAACATCACCTGCAAATGGTATGAATATAAATGTCTCCCAACTTTGATACACAAGAGCATGCTCTGATTACATGTACGATCAATTTTTAAAACAATGTAAGCTACTGACAAATAAGTTGATGTTACAAGGATTTCAACAACCTTAAATACAACCTACCGTTGACGGGTTCGTATTTTGTCTGACATTTTGTTTCATACCATTAGTTAGGTCATTGCTTTTATACTAAATGACTTCGGAGTGCACGAATCTTAGTGAAGTTTACTTGTGTGACAAGTTACAATCAATCCAAAACTGTAGGAGGAGTAGCATTATGAAAGTATTTCATAGAAATTTCTATATCTTTAATAGTATCCATGGCAAAACCGTTTATCGAAATCAAAAAACAAAACACAGAATCATGTGCATGTATCTTAGTGTAGTCTACTTGTGTGCCAAGTTATATTGAAGTCAGACAAAAACTAGCATTTTGAAAAATTGTTTATAGACGGACGACGCCATCCTTGATCCGCGCGGAATGTTTCTAGATCCTTCGGTACACATTTGGCCTTATCCCACCGTCTGCATAGTGCTTCGAAACTACGTTGTTAAATTTTTTGCTGTGAAGTGATTTCTGATACAAGACGGGAGGTAAAAATTGCAATTCTTTTGGTTAAAAGAAAGTTGCACTTCGATATGCAATCAGTGTATCATGACTTTAAACTATGAGTATAACAAAATGATGTTAACTCGCATTTCCTCAGAAATGCAGACGCTGTCATGTCTTGCACCTGTCACCAGAGACGCAAATAAAATGTTATATGTTCTGCAAATGTTACGATCTTTTCATTTTGAATTTGGAGCTCATAGAATTTACCAAAAGCCATGTCAATCAATATAATTATTTTATGTGGTAAATTTTCCCCAACATTTTTGTCATGTTCAAAGAACGTTAAATTTTTGTAGATCGTCCAAAATGGATGTGTGACTTCCATCCACTTGTGTACTGTTGCATGGTATGGCTGTGAAAAGGGTACTGAAAAGAACTCTTTTACTTACAGGATTGGTGACCGTATTCAGAACTATGGCGTGGCGCTCCAGCGGCAAAAGTCATGTGGACCTTATTGACAATCTTGCAAGTATGTATACTTTTTATTCTTAGAATAATGCCTTATTTAATACAGGCAGTGTAACTGCACATATAAAGTACCCTGTGCATTGTAAATGTAATGTATCGGGAGAGGAGAAAAATGCGATGGACCAGACCGGGATTCGTGCCTGGGCCCCCCTGAATATTTCCAGCCAGTCTAGCTACCAACTGAGCTACATATTGTATCTGGCCACCGGCGATTGAACCCGCCTGACCACCACATTAAGTTCTAATGAAGATGTGCAAACGGTCCTACTAAACAGAGTACGATAGAGTACTTTAGAGTATGCTGGAAAAATTTCATAATTCAATGCAAATAAACTGCTTTTTGAATGTGTTTCTACTTTAGTTTAACATAATAAATACATATCTTGAATAATTTGTGTTTCATTATTTTCGGAATTATTTCAATTTATCGTTCCTGATAACAATTTACCGTTTGACCCCAATCCCAATCAAATAATAGAAAATTTTACTTCTATCACTAAGATAATAGCTTATTTTCTTGTCATTTTTATGTTTAAATTTTTTTGAGGTTCCACTAAACATAAGTATCTTTCATTGAAGTAACTTATATGCATATTATTATTTATTTGATATTGACATTATAATTTATTTTCTAGTAAAATTATTATTATAATTTTTTGTAGTTAACTTTTATCATTTTTGTGATACTGATTTCGAGAATATTTATGTAAGATCGCTAAAAAACAAAATTTTGAGACAAATATTGCAATATTATTTTATAATGATGTTTATCTAAGTTGTATGTATATAAATAAACAATCTAATTGCATTGAATTATAAAATTTTACAAGTGTACTCTAAAGTACTCTGTTTAGTAGTACATGTACCCATGTGCAAATACTAGTGTAAGTGCATGGGTAAAATGATTCTGAAAACTGGAATATAAATTATCAGTAACTCAATCATTTCATAAAGGTCCAATTTCTGTAAAGTACATAATTTCTTGTAATTTACATCTTTTTCTTGTTTTCCTTATCACTTTTAAATGTATATTGAATGAATGTCTTGAATACTTAGAATACAAATTTGCCAATCTGATTGCCTGTGCTCAGGCATTGTCCCTTAATTGGTACCCTCTGTATTCAAGTCACTTTTTAACACAATATGCAATACAGTAGTATGCTGTTATCATTATTTTTTTATATCAGCATTTGGTTTTTTACCTCTTCAGTGTTCTGTGTTAAAATTATGCATTAAATTTTCTCAGGACGCATGATTTCAATACTCCACAGGCTGAGTGATATGCATGAGTGATTTGGGGACATCTTAGCTTCTAGGCTACCTGGCCATTGATAGGTCAGGTTTCACACCTCACTGTTATTGCATTTAACAAGCAATTATGAGAAAATATTTGCAAACATCAGTCAGCACAATTTAATTTATTGTCTACTGTAGAAATAGGAAGTTTCCTCCGTCGCATGGATGGATACATGTATATCCTTAGATGTGGATGCATTGATTTTAGTATGGTACTTATTGTTATCATTCTGAGGGGTCCCTTTGACTCTTGATAATTAATCTTTTGCAAAATGAATCACTGCATCTCAAGCATTTTTTTCTTTTTTAGAGAATGATATTTTAAAGTCACCACGTGTCATAGATGTTATGAAGAAAGTTGACAGAGCCAATTTTGCCAAGTTCAATCCCTATAATGATTCCCCTCAGACCATTGGATACTCTGTAACTATCAGTGCCCCACACATGGTAAGGGTATTTTTAATGCAAAAGTAATAGAACAATTGTTTACTAATGTGGATGGCATGATACATGTATCTAATTAAAGTTTAACATGGGTTTTAACAAAAATGGGACTAAGAATTGTTGCCACCCAAAAAGTTTGCCTGGTAGAAGTAAGAATCACATTTCTTTTGTCTCTCTGTCCCTCCATCACATTCTGAATCTTTTTAATGTTGAAAGATTGGTTGCTGATATTTTGATGCATGAATTTATTTGTATTCTTTGATCAAGACCTTCAGGGGGGAAAAAAGCTCTAATAAGGCCTTATTCTTCATGTGCCCTGCAGTAATCAGTGTAGCTGTCTTTCTTGAGATTCCTTCCGTCAGTCTGTCCGTGTGTTTGATGTCAGTTATTATGAGCATATTTTCTCCCCCCATAGCCAAAATCATTCTTCACCTGTAAGTGCTCATGGGGGAAGGGTGTGCAGTGACCTTGAACCAAGTTTTTAAGTCAAAGCTCAAGGCAAAAAAAAAAAAAGAAGAAAAGAACAACTCTGTGTAAAATCTTGTCTTGAACATATTTTCTCTCCCCTTGGCCCAATCTGGTTCAAACTTCATCCATAGAGTATGCCCATGAGTAAAGGGTGTGCAATGAACTTGAACCATGTTTTTGTAAATCAAAAGGTCAAAATATTTCTTTGTATAATTGTTGTCAGGACGATATTTTCTCTCCCTTTGGCCCAATCTGACTCAAACTTCATCCATAGAGTGTACTTGGGTAAAGGATATGCAGTGACATAGGTTCTAGTTCAAAGGTCAAGGTCAAATATTTGTTTTCTCCCCTTAATCCAATCTGACTCATAGTTCACCAATAGAGTGTGCCCATGGGTAAAGGATCTGCACTGATCTTGTACCAAGTTTCTAGGTCAGAGGGTCAAGGTGAGAGAGGATCTTTGTGTGAAGTCCATGTCTTCTTTCCTCTTGGCTTCATCTGAGTCTATCTTCACCCAAAGAGTGCCCATGGGTAAAGATGTAAAGCAAAGGTCAAGGCCAAAGCAGATGGCTATGTAAATTTCTTGTGAGAATTCTCACCCCTTTTGCCTAATCAGGTTCATTCTTCAACCAAAGACTGCTTATGAGTAAGGTATGTGAAACGAACTTGGGCTAAAGTCCTAAATAATTCTCAAGTTCTAAAATGCTCTGGTGAAGGTCAGAGCAAAACTCTGTGTAAAATTGTTAACACTGAGACAAAAACTTTACTGATTACAAAATGAAGACTCCAAATACAGTCCTTCACAAGTCCCTTTCATCCTAATATCCTTTACTAAAAGTGATGCCCTCTTAGATTGTCACAATCTCAAATGATATGTAGGTATTAATTTGTCCTTGTTGTCTGTAGTTTTCATTGCATCCTTCTATTGCAGGCACTATTTGATCACTCTAGTCCCTTTTTAATTACATATAGGTTAAATGTGTATTGTACATAAAACACTTTGAAGTATTTCTTAAGCTGTAAAAGTTGACTGTTGCTTCTTAAAGTATTTGACAATAGAGATGTGTGTTCATGTTGCCTTTTTTTGTATGTATAATATTGATACAGCTTGTAACATGAAAGTTTTATGTTCATGTCTCATTCCTGTCTGATACAGCATGCCCATGCCTTAGAACTTCTAGCAGATCACCTGACTGAAGGAAAGAGAGCTCTCGATGTGGGATCAGGGAGTGGTTACCTCACCGCATGCATGGCCTTACTGGTAGGTACTGTACAACTGTTTATTTCTGTGGTGGCTAAATTAAGTACATGTACCTTATTCAAACAAATTTATTAGTGCTTTTATTTTTGTTGATAAAGGATAAGTCACAAAAATAAACTCCTTGCCTAAGAAAATGAATACCGGTATTAATTAATCCATGAAATATATACGGTTCCCTGTAGTGTTAATGTTGACAAAAGAATTGCATAAAATCATTTGAAGTGTGACATATCATATGTGTGTTAATCCTTCATGTATTATTTGTTTTGTAAAATTTATCAACATTGATTGATTTATTTTTAGCCCACCTGGATGAAAGGCTCAAAAAGGTTTTCTGATCAATAAGAGTCTGGCTTCTGTTTCTAGCAGTTGATCATTCTATCCATCGTCTGTCTGTAAACATATATGTTTGACTTCTTCTACATGCAGAACTACTTGGCCAATTTCAACCTAACTCATCACATAGAATCTAAGGGGAAAGAAAGTTCAATTCCTACTAAGGAAAGATAATCAAGAAATAAATAAAAATATAAGGGGTCATTTAAAATCTTCTCCAAAACCATTAGATTAGGAAAGACAAAAGCATGATGAAAGCTTCTGTATTAAGTGATTTAAATTGGTTCAGATAATGGTCTCCTGGGCCAGGTTGAGCTATAAGGGGAGAGGGGGTCAAAGTTTTACATAGGAAAGATTTTAAAAATTGTACAAAATCTCATTTAAGCAGATCTACAATCAAGCCTGTCGCCCCCGTGGCGCAGTGGTTAGAGCGTCTGCTCTAGAGTCGTGAAGTAAGGAGTTGATCCTTACATCGTGGGTTCGAATCCCACTGTGGGACATGGAGACCGGTCCTTCGGATGAGACCGTATAAACCGAGGTCCCGTTTCGCAGTAGGTGCTGGCACGAAAAAGATCCCTCGCTGCTCAATGGCCATAAGTGCCGAGTATAGGACAAAATTTGCAGCTCTCCACCGGCAAGTGGTGGTGTCTCCATATGAGTGAAAAATTCTCGAGAGGGATGTTAAACAACATACAACATATAAACAATCAAGCCTCATATCCTTTAAATAAAAGGTGTTTAAAAACCGGTATTAACTTTGCAGTAATTTCGTAATAATTCTTTTTTAGGTGGGGCCCACTGGAAGAGCTGTAGGCATTGATCATATTCCAGAATTGGTGTCAGAATCCATTGTAAATATCAAAAAAGATCCAAAATTAATCCCATTGCTAGAGTCTGGACAGATGAAACTTGTTGCCGGTGATGGGAGACAGGGGTATGCTGAGGATGCCCCTTATGATGCCATACATGTAGGGGCAGCAGCCCCAACTCTACCCCAGGCAGTAAGTATGAAAGTTTGTTGTATTTTTTAAGATTCAAATGCTGCAAAATCAGAGAATATACTGCAGTTGACTGTTATTCAGTACATTACACAGTATATGTTTGTGAAGTTCTTAATATGTAAAAGTTGTCCCTATTACAGTTTTGGCCATATCTTTGGGGATATGTGTGTTTTGCTTACAGTTATTGTGAAGTAATTTGAGTGGAGAAAGTTTATTATATTTGATAGCAGTCAAAATCCAGATAGGAATGAATATTGAAGAGATAAATATCCAGAAGTAAGGCTTCAGTCATAGTCAATGACCTCTGTGAAGAATGAAAATCATAACAGTTGAGCCTCTGAAATCTGGACACTAAATGATGCGGACACATTATATTCTGGATAAAATTTGTGGAAAACAGAATTTACATTTAAAGCTACCATTTATAAAAGTTACATTTCAATAATATGGATACTTCATTAATCGGGACATTTTGTTTAGGAACACAATGATACGAATTAATGATGCTGTATATATTCAAATGACAGAGGTCAAAGTTTTCACTTTTGTAAAAAAAATCCCAGAGCCAAATAATGGCTAAGCCTTGTGCTAAGTTTGAACCATATTCAAACAAAAAAAAATGTTTCAATGCTGGAATTGTGTTTATTTTAGCTGATTGATCAGCTGGCTCCTGGAGGGAGACTGGTCATTCCAGTGGGACCCCAAGGGGAGAGTCAGATGTTACAACAATACGATAAAGGAATGGATGGCACAGTCACGAGGAAGAACCTGATGGGGGTCATTTATGTGCCACTCACTAGCAAGGAAAAACAAGTTCCCAGGTGGAAATGAATCCCCTTTTTTGCATGATGGAATCCTTTCTTTCTAGGTGCTTATTAAACATGCACAAGTTTCCTCCTGCATTTCTTCACATACATGTAACCTGTTTCCTTAATTTACTCCCTCACTTCCTTTACATAGATATTTTGTGGGATTGTGGGGTCTTTTTTTTTTTTTAACTACAATTCTGATGTGATTTTATGGTGGTGGTAGCTACTGCATGTTTTATCATAAGTCAAGAAATTTCCTAAGAGTATTCTTTCTAATAGATTGATTATACTTCTGTAGAAAAGTAATATCAGTTTTTCCAACAAAAAACAAACAAACTTATACAGCACATGTAGCAAACCATGTTTAATTAATATTTTGATTTAGCGTTTTATGTGAAGACTATAGTGATCCTAGTGAAATCAAATGACCTAGTGTTATGAAGTTCTGCATACTCTTAGACATTGCATTTTCTATAATACGATTTTATGCAAAATTCTGACAAAAAGAATTTGTAAAGATTTTAAAAAATTAAAAGAATTTATCTTCTTGTTTCCTAGTGATCCGGTGAAAAGAGGAAGAGGACAAACACATGATGATTTATGACTTGGAGCAACATGTGACATTTGTTCAAAGACACATTCTATTGTGATGCCATTTTGTATGCTTCTGTCAAGAACTTGATATGCTATAAAATGTTCCAAAATATTTTGCATAGAAATTGTTCAGAAATTCCTTGTTGTTAGTTCTAATCTTCTAATTTTAATTTAAACAAATGACTTTAAATAACAAAATGTACTAGCCCTAATGCATCTACTGTATATGAAAAACTCTGTACATCATTTACTTTTTCACATGACAAAGTGAAGTTAAACTAAAAAAAAAAAGCAAACAAAACTTGTGAAAAGTATGCATGATTAGAATTTAGTTTTCACTGGTTTTTGCCCACATCCAAGCAGCTTTTTATGTATTGTTGATTTTCATAGTTGAGTATACATTGCTTCCCCAGTATTGTTCTCTAGAACGTCAAGGACATTTATTTAATGAAAAACCCAAATTTTTTTAATTCACAGCGTTGGTACAACCATTAAAGAAATACTAGTCTCTGATTGTTATTGATTCATTTTCTGTATTCATGCAAGTTTAGAAAAAGTGATAATTACCAGTAATTGTACCCAGCACAAATTGCCCTGTGTTCTGGAGAGTTTGTTTTCTTTATGCAAATAAAACTTTGTTATATCCTTCTGAAGTTTCAGTGTGTTCCTGGTTTTATTGTTCCATGCAGTTATTTGGAGTTTGGTTATTAGATCATTTTCATGAAAAAAATATTACCAGCATATCAGCTACTCGGTAAATTATCTAAAGTTAGTGATTGAAATGTACTGATAAGTCCCATGAAAAATGAATAATTTTGGAAAACCAGCAGAACATGATGGACACTTACCGATAACCATGTCTGACAACTGTGTGTGCCTAACATTTTTGACTTCTTCAGAAATAGAGGGTCCTTATATATATAAGATTAAAATTTCTTCAGTTCATGGCCCCTGAGTGTTGTTCTACATATGGGAATTTGTAGGAATTCACAGTAGATGTATTGGACAATCCTCTCTTAGAACAGAAGATCCATTTTAAATGTGTAGATGCAATTGTTCTGGGCTCTGTTGAAATAGCAGTGAAATCATCGGCACGTAATGTTGGTCAAAATTAATTCAACAGACCTAGAGTGGTGGGATGGTTAAAGGAATCATCTCTTCCATCTATCCATCTGTGCAATTGTATCTGGACTATACCTTTTTAATGGAGAATTATTGGAAGCTCATATTTGGTTAAAGGGTTGTTTACCTGAGGGTGTGTCATGACCTTAACCCAGGGTCATTGTGGCAAGTTCAAGATCACGACAGAAAAGTATAAAATTTGTGTAAGGTCTTAAACTTCTTATGGAAAAACATTTGAAGTTCATAACTCATAAAAAATTGCTTATTACCTGAATGGAGAACATTAAAGGCTCACACATATCACAAATACTGCATTGACCTGACGGGAATATATTAACCTTCGCCCAAGGTCATTCCAACAATTTCTACCAAGTCACTGGCAGAAAAAAAAGCATTACTTGTATCTGGTCAATAACTCGGAAATAGAGGTAATTGGACATTAAATAATGGTGTGTCATGGTCTGACACAAGATCATTTTAGTAAGTTAAGGTTCCTGGCAGAAAAAGTGCTAAATTTCTTATTTAGTAGTTTAGCTATATGGACTGTGGATATTGACTTGGGTAGCTCAGTGGTTAGAGCACCTTACTAGTAATACATATAATTTTGTGAGCTCACTCACAACTAGCTTTACAACAAGATGTGTTTGTGAAACACTATGCCCCCGATGGTAACACAATTCTGGAGTGGGACGAAGACTACAGTGCAATAGTTATGGCCAATGTTAAAGTTTTTCAAATGTAGGTCAAAGGTCACAGTTGAGGTCATATGATCAAAAATTTCTGTACCAATGGAAAGGTCTTGTCATAATGAACACTCACGTCAAATATTAAAGCCTTACCCTTGACAGCGCAATACTTATGGGCTAGGTTGAAGTTGACAACAGACAGACAGACAAACAGACAGATAGGACAAAAACAATATACCCCCGGGATCTTTCGATCCAGGGGCATAAAAATATATTCAGTTTAAAAAGGTATCTATTTGTGCACATCTACATTCCATTGATTTCTTCATAGTATGCCTTAAAAGTGCTGCCTTGATCTAAATATTCATTTGTTAGAAATAGGACTCGAGTGAGCAGTGTGGCTCAAGGGCCTCTTGGTCCAATACAGGGAGAATTGAAGTTAAAAATACTTCCTTACTTTAATAAATGGGGAAAAAACTTAGAAATCCAGATCTTTTTAATCTATACAAATAACAATGCGTGCCAACAAGACAAGAAACAAGGAAAAAAGACACTGTTACAAAAGTACAAAATCAAACAATTTTATGTCACTGTCACAACCCAAGATTCTTAATTAAAAGACAAATTATTAGGGGGACATTTTCGGAAATTTTACAAAGAAAATTATAGTATAAATTTGTATATGTAATGTTGACTATTTGAAATAAACACTGAACTTCGCAAGATATATTGTAATCTCTAAGAATTCTAAGAGGATTATAAAACCTAGTGCATGTATAACTTTCATTACAATCAAAAATTTAAAAAAAAATGTCAACATATATTAAGCATTTACAAATGGGTTGTCAGAGTAAAAACTGCACTGAATCAGAGATTTAAGTTATTCATGTATTGCACACACTACCTGATACATTAATTAAATAAATACATTTCACTTTCTATCAGGATAAATGTAAACATAAAATATTTCTTTAAAAAAAGACAATTTTGTGGAATGCATATTCACAGAAAACAGAATGTGACACAGTTCAACAGAACTAAAAAATATCATTCTATAAAGATATATCTTTGGAATGCTACAACCTTATCATACAATATCATAAAACAAAAACACAACCTATGAGTACATGTAAAAATGTGAAAAGAAGGGACACCATTAACTTAAGGATTTCTGATTCTAAATCACAGTCTGATGACAACTTAATACTCAATACAGTAAAATTAAACAAAACCAAATCCTCATTGCACTGGTACAAATATTGCATCACATGACATGACATTTAATTCACAGTGGATTTCTCAGATCACAAAATTTCAGTTCTCACATACAAAGAATGTACTTGTCTGTTTGTTCTTTTGTGATGACCAAAAAAAAAAAAAAAAACATGCAATGTTATTTTTAAGAAGAGGAGTATTTGAGATTCAGTTTTAAAAACTATCAAATTTGTGCATAATTAATCATCTTTGGTGGGGTAGTTCCATGAGCAAGTGGATTTATTGCCGACTTGAAAAATAAAAATATAAGTTCATTTCAGTTAAAACTAGGGATGGGTATCGGCAAAAATTTCGTATCGTGATATATCACGATTTTTTCTCAAGAATATCACGATAAATTGTGATATCTTTACACACAAATTTTACAACAATTTCAAAGGAATTTCCAAAATTTTTCTTAAAAATACGCTATAAAAACATAACTTTACTTTTTAAATTTTCATTTATTTAATATAAAGCATGTTTGGATGCCACTGTTTAACTGTTTCAACATTTTTTTTACACTTCCTGTAATTGTCATTCAATAGTTTGAACAAATAAATGAATAATTTACTGAATTTATAGTTATGTACCAAATACCGGTATTTTAGTCTCCATATCACGATACGTATCACACAATAAAAAATCGCGATATACCGGTATACCGATAAAATCGCGCATCCCTAGTTAAAACTAACTGTAACTGGGAACCATGATAAAAAAATTTTTTGAAAGACAGTTTTGAAATACACATGTATTTGTTTTCAATATCAGTAATTTTTTTTTGATTTATGACCCCTTCCCAATTCAAAGTGAATAGTAGGTAACTTTTCTGAACAAATGATTATTGAATAATTTACCAATCCCAAAGTAGTGTCATTTTATAAGTACATTCCATTAATTAAATAATCTGCTTCATTGGAATGAAGAGCCCTTCCTTTCCTAATGCGTCTTTTAACATTTCTAAGCCGACAACCCACAAAGAACAAGAGTATAACAGTGATGCCGAGCCCCAGGGCCAGGGCGACAATTGGCCCCTGGTGACTGTCTGTGGGGCTCTCCACCACCACGTGGGTCTGAACAGCCTCCTCCAGCAATCCTTCACTATCAGGGACTTTGGAATCTGTGGAATTTTTCTTGGATGTTTGTATTTTCTCAGTCTTGGAGCTGGATACCTGAGGCTTTTTGTCAGTAGTGCTTGCAGAGTTAGCTCCCCCTGGCTTTATCTTCCCCGCTGTAGGGTCTACGTGTTTTATTTCAGGAGCTTGTGTTGTTTTAATTTTCTGTGTTGGTCTTGGTGTGGGTTTTGGCGGTACCTTTGGAGTGGGTTTCTGTTTATTTCCTATAAAACATGTACGTGTATTTGATAAAAATGTATTTAGAGACACAGTAAAGAGAAGGATTATACCCCCATTTGAACAAAAAAAAAAACCCACTCTGAATATGTTTTAACTAAATGCTAAAATCTTTCAAAATCTTTGTGAAACACAGTATCTCTCGTTTTGGCACATTTCTATGGTAGGCATCTTAATTACTTTTAGTCCTTGACAATTAACAAATTTTTGTACACAGTAATATATTAGTGTATGTCAGTCCTTGACTCTGAGCAACATATGACTTTATTTCAAACATGTAATTCAGATTTTATGACCACTATTATAAGTTAAGAATAAACTAACTGACAGTTATACCAAAATTTATGCCCTAATATTTAATCCTGAGGACAATCAAAATAATCATGTCAAACGGAATGTTCTTACCATTATCATCGTCGTCATCATTGTCATCATCATCAGAATCTGGTTTGTTGTTGAACCAATTTCTGTCATTATCTACAAGGAGTCCAGAAAAGAATGAATACTGAATGGATGTATTGTTTATTTGTTTATGTTATGTTAGTATGAATTTTATAACCAAATTACTTTTCTTTGAACATTAAATCTTAAAATTTGCTGCAATTGTCAGATAACTTTCCTAATCTTAAACTTCAATTCAATACTATATATGTTGAATATTTCATATACATTGTAATACTATCTGCCTACAAAAAAACAACAAATACATATGTATATACATGCATGATGTATAGAATCATTGGAAGATGGAATGCAACTCCAAATTAAGATAACAACAATCTACAACAAAATGAAATCAAATACATGCAGTGAAACCTGTCCAATCTGACATGCACTGGGAGATGAATTTTGTGTCAGAATAGACTGGGTGATGGATTGTACAGTGTAAAAAAACATGGAAAATGGAAAAATGGGAACAAAATTTAATTTCGGAATTCACAGTGTGATGGATTGCACGGGTGTCAGATTAGACAGTTTCCACTGTATGTCATAAACACAATGTCATGTAAACTATAAAACGCTGCATATGAAAGAGAAGGTAAATATACACCATTATAAAAAAAGAAAATAAAAATAGGTAACAACTAAAATATAACAAAACACAAGTATAAGTACAAGTGTTTAAGAATAAATCATGACACACTTCAGAGAGTTCACTACAGCAATCTTGACAACATCTAGACAAGGACTCAATCTCTACAACACTCTTGCCAAGAAATTGACAACTGGGTTGTCTACAACGTTGACAACATCTAGAGAACACCTAGTACCTGAGTCAGTCTGGTCATAAGGGGAGGGGTACTTCTTGTCGGAGTGATCGTTGTAGTTATAATAGTCATAATTCCAGTATGGGTCTGGACGATAACCATCATAGTACTGATAGTTTTGGGGTTTCTGGCTTTTGTATGCTGGTTTCCTGTATCCCTGCTTTTTTGGTCCAGCAACATTTTGCCTATTTTGAGAACTCTCTTGAAAATAATTGTCATAGTCTGTGTTCTGTGGCTTGATTTGTTGTTTTGATTTGAAACCCTTGTTGGTATTGTCAGTAAGTCTACTTGAAGTATTATCAACATTTTGTTTTCTATGGTACCCACCACCTTTCCTTCCCTTTGATCCTCCCCTTGTTCTTTCCTGTGGATGACCTTTCCCATTTCTGTTATCCTGACCCTTATGTCTATTACTTGTTTGACCCATGTCTTTATTTCTTCCCGCAGTCCATCCCTGGTGCTGATGCCACCTATCTGATTTTCCTTGATATCCACCACTAGTTTTATCCTTTGATTCACCACTTTCTGATCTTCCCTCACTCACCCTCCCTTTGCTCTCATCCACTTGACCTCCCTTCATGCCTGCCTCAATGTCTGTTTTGTCATTGTTATCCATACTGGACTCTGTATGCTGATTCCAGTTCCTCTGTTTATCTGAACCACTTTGTAACACTGGTAGATCCTGTTTTCCTGTTTGTATTTTATCAGCAGTACCTCCTTTTGTTTGTTGCTTAACATGAAAGGACTTTTGCCAGTCCATCTTATCTGAGGAAGTATGTTGTTTTAATGGACCTTTTCCTAAACTCTTGTCTGTATTATCCAAGACCTGGTCATATTTAGTATTCTGAGATGAATCCATCACATTTTCCCATTTATTCTGACTCTCTTGTGCAGATTTCTGTGTTCCTTCATCACTTTTCCAACTTGGAATATCATGATTAATTTGTTTCTGAGAATCCTTGTCAAAATTTCCCCTCCAACCAGTGGTGTCTTTACTTGTCTTATCCCAATCAGTTTGTTGATTTGAAATCTTCCATGTGTTAAAGCTCCCCCTGGTGGTGGCTTGCCTTGAGGTTGGACTAACTGTTGTTGGCTTTTCTGTTGTCTTCACCTGGATCTTCTGCTTAAAGTCTGAACCTTTTTTACCACTGCTACTCATAGCTGATGCTCCATCTCTGCCTTGGGAGATGGGAATCAGTTTTTCATTGGAATGATCTGATTTTGGACTTCCTGCCCTTCCATTACCTGATCCAGTCTGGGAACTGACACTCTTGCTATCAGGAACTGACTTGTCATAATATCCTCTGACTGGATCTAAGTAACCATTCCCAAATTGTCTTCCACTGCTATCATACGAGTTGTAAAATCGAGGATCAAATGGGTACTGAGCTCCAGGCTGGAATCTACCATAGGGATAACTTTGGGATCCATACATCCGGCCATATCCAGACGGCCAGTAGTAACCGTTACCATTATATAAATCTGATCCAGTTGGTAACTTGTTCAGATTAGTGGGGAAATACTGAGGTAGTATCTGGTCATTCACTCCCAGATTGTTAACATTCTGCTGGGAGGATTTAGTTGTCACTGGTTTAGGAGTTGTTGTCGTCGTTGTTGAAGTTGAAGTTGTTGTTGTCAATGCTAATCATTGTTAGTAAAAGACATCATCACAAAAAATGAAAATTAAGGATTGCATTTTAACAGAGAAAATATATCAAATGTACCAAAATTTCAAGTCCAGTAGATTATTTGTTATGTTCAGTAACGGTAGTTCTTAGTTAATTTATAAATAGAAAATAATACATATTCTTTTCCATATCACACCCTGCATCAGCCCAAAGACACCAATATCAACCTTTGGCCCTCTGGCTGATATTGGCTGAGGGCTGATACAGGGTGTCATATGGAAAAGGATATGTATTAATATGTTAATACTTAGTAATAACTTACAGAACACATCACCGACTAGCTTATTATATGAAATAAAAGTAATTTAAAATTAAAAAAAAAACAATTTTTACAGAGAGTATGAGCAAAAAATAGCTGTATTATCACAAGTACCAGTACTATTTTTTAAAGATTTAATCCACAATATACATATATATCCGTATATATCAGCCCTGCAGATCCATATGAGCATTGCAGGACCCATATCAGCCCTGGAAGCTGATACAGTTATTGGAATGTTGTGCATACTGCACATGCAAAAAAACTGTATTTATTACTAAGTATGTTAGATATATTACATATTATGGTTGTTTTATCCTACACAATTCTCCATAAAATTTAAACTGTGTTTAATGTTTAATAACATAATCAAACTTTTTCATCGAGAAGTTAATCTTATTTCTACCTGTATCTGGACATTTGTTTTCATCAGAACCATCGGCGCACTGGGGTTGGCCATCACATACATGTTCCCTTGATATGCATTCTGGGACATTGACTCTTTGACCTTTGTTTTCACATTCAAACTCAGACTCTGGACAATTAGCCCCTACAAGTCAAACAAAATTCATCTAAAAGTTCTATTTTATTTCACCTATGATACATATTATATAAATATATAGCTATATCCAGGGGCTGACAAGTAACAGGGTTGCAAATAACCACTTACCTGCTTGAAAATGTGAGTAGTTTAGTCCATGGACAAGCAACTCTTGAGGATGTTTTCATCCACACGACGAGAAAGAATTTTATCTGAACTTAAAAAATATTTTTTACAAAGTGGACAAAAAGTCACTGGCCCCAAAATATTGATGTTGGCTAGTAAAACTTGTAGGGTGGTGGCCCACATGGTCCCTAAAATTTTAAAAGTTATTTGCAACCCTTGCATTTTTCAAGCATTTGCTCATGGGCAAGTGCATAGTGAAAATTCACTTGCCCTACATCAGTTTTTTACTAGTCCCACCCTAAACTATTAAATGAAACGGAACACATTTCCTCAATTCTTTCATTTTTATCCAGCACTTTATGAATATTCATCATAATGAATGAATTCATCATCAAATCGAAAAAACATCCTTTAAAAGATCAATGTTGTTTTGAATGTTGGCGACAGTTGAAAACTCTTGCTAGTAGGTACCATATATAACATTCTTGTCAGTATCGTCATATAATAATTGTTGTTTTTCTTTCTAGTACTTGATATATTTAGACAGTACTGTGATTCTATCTCTAAATTTTTTATTGAACATTGTTGACCTCTGTTCTTAACATCAGCTTCTGACTGTAATTGTTAAAATTTTCTCCATTTTTCTGCTAACAATTTGTCACTGTAGACTTATGATAATGAATAAAGAAACACTATGACACAACTAAACTTGTTTGCATACAAAGCAAACCATTAGTTTTTACAAACAAAGGAGATAACTCATACATGTACATAATGTAGTTTCATTTTCATGTAAAAATAGGACTTCTTTTTAAATATTTATTGATTGAATCTTTTTAATTCACTGGGGCAGGCCCAGAAATTAACTAAACCTGGGCGTCGGGCAATGGGATTTGTCAGCCCCTGCATATACCACAAAATGTATACATTAAACTTTTTTTTTGCTTTTAGGATGTAAGATAGATCCTTTGAACACTCCGAAATCTGTTTTCTTTCATTGTGTGATGAAAGACAACCTAAAATATATATATATATATATATATATAAAATATCCCTGTAATATTTTCATACTTACTACAGATTCCATATTTAGCATGATATCCATATGAACATTTGCATTCCCTGTCCCTGCATTCGGCATTTCTATCACTGCATTCATCATTCCAATCAATATCACATTTCCCGTAAAGAGGAACTGTGGAAAAAGAAAAATTCATATTCTAGACTGGTATAGCAGTGGTTATATTACTACAGTCAAACCTCGTTATCTAGAACTTGATGGGACCGAGAAAAAACTTTGACATATCCAAGGGTTCCAGATATCAAGGGTAAAATACTTAAGAAATACATGGTTAGGACTTCACAATCACTTCCACATATCCATGGTACTCGAGATACGCGTGTTCGAGATACCGAAGTTTAACTGTATATCTGTTTCATGCGATGTCCTTTTCATACGTTAAAGTTCACTTCTTTGGCCATGTTGGTCAAATAGTTGCAAATATAACTTGTTCAAAAATTACATGTGACTTAAACTTCCTCTTCAAAAATCTTAAAGCCTCAGATTGAAAAGCTAATTTTGTTTGTACAAGTTTTTTTATCCACTTCATAAAGACAGCATACTTACCCTTTCTTCTAGGAGCTTGTGTTGTTGGTTTGAGAGTCACCTTAGAATTTAGCCCCTCCAATTCGTTTTCATGTTGTTCTTGATGTCCATTGATTGAGGTACTTGGAGCAACATGATTGGGGAAAAACAGTGATGTGTAATTTGCATGTTCAGCAAATAAGCATTTACTCGGTGTTCCACAATTAAATAGATAACAGCTGTGCTCATCCTACAGAAAAGCCAACAAATTAAATGCACGGTTTGAATAAAACATAATTTTCCTAAATCACTTGGCACACCAAATTTCATAGAACTTTAACTTTGAAAGGTGTCATTGACATAAATAAATACTATACATTTGTAACTGACATTTTGCCAATCTTGTTACATGAAAAATTTATCATTGAAACCTAAACTTAGAAAAATCATGTTGCCAAGATGAATTTTATACTGCTTGATGTTAACTGACGCAACAAAATGTTATATATTATGTCCAAGAATTTAAATGTTGAACAATTGACTCTTATATGTGAGTGTTGCTATTAAAAAAAGGTAGTAAAACCCAGGCCAGGGTATTCAAAACTAAAAACCGGGTTTAGGCTAATTACTGAAAAAATACTTATTTATTATTATTTAAAATGGGTAGTAAACCCAGTTTACTCATTTTGGTGTTTAAAGCTAATTGCACCCAGAAAATGGGAAATCTTGTGTTTTATAGTTGTTTAGTTGTTTAGTAACAGTGCTAAAATTTTACAACCATTGCAAAATAAATATCGATAATTAGAATTATGACCAAATTTTTATTACCTGGGACAGGCTAAAACCAGACGCATTGACCCAGGACAAACTGAAAAATTCCAAAATATTCCAGGCAAACTGGATGCAGAGAAAAGAGGATAGAATTTATTTAGTCATTTACCTACCTATACACACACACACAAAATAAATAAACAAATGAAAAAATAAATAAAAATTATGCAAAAAAACAGAAAAAAAACAAACAAAAAACAAAACAAACAAAAAAACAAAACAAAAAAAATCCAGGCTATTATATTTATTTTAGGGATGTCAACGAGTACTCGGTTAACTGGGTCCTCGATCGAACGTCCGAGTATCGAATACTAAAAATGATACTCGGTTACTCGGATGTGTATTTTTTCTTAATTCAAAGTACTTATTTTTATCAAAAACTTATCAAAAATTAACTTAAATATGCATACGGTAATTATAGCGTGTAGTCTTCTACACCAGTAAAACACCCATTATCGCCTGTGGCTGTGTTACGTTGGAATCGATGTTTATATACATTTATAAACGTGATAAAAACAGCTTTGGGGTTTAACGGAATTTAACGGGGCTCAAGAAAATTAACACACTTGTATTTACATTTTTACCGAGTACCCGGGTACTTGATCGGAAAAACGTCCGAGTAACCGATTATCAAAAATTGACCAATTTGACATCCCTAATTTATTTAATTTTAACTTTTAATATTATAATTAATAATTTTTATCTACATGGGTAAAACATAAAACACTAGTCCTTTATTTGTGATTTTAAGTCAATTAAAAGAAATGTAAACTGTCTGGGCCTTGGTAGGGTGTTGTATTTACACACGATAAGTTTTTCTTTATTTGATGTTAACGTTTGCAAATGTTGTTATATTTTATATTCCAAAAAAGGGGAGGGTGGGTATATAGACACTAGGCTCAAATGAGGACACCTCTGTGTGGTTTGAGCTGGGCAATGTCACAGGAGTGAAAGCTAGTAAGATCTTCTTGTCATTATATCAGAAATATGAGGTTTGTATCGGGTAAATGTGTCTGGTTTTGGTCAGTCCTGGGTATTCAAAAAAGGTGTGTACATGAAAATCCATAATTGGGAAAATTTTATACAATGGTAATAATGTTTAAGTAGTTTAATTTTTATCAATACAACACAGAAAATTGCAATTATGTTATCGATATTAAGTATGAAACACCAAAACATTCAAACCGCATTTACTTCCTATTTTATCAACAGGAAAATGACGATCAGTGATATTCACTGAAAAGAGTTATGTTAACCTCTCAGCAAAGAAAAATGTTGTTGCAATAATTAAAATTTTATCTGTAAGTTTCATGAAGAATAAATATATTTTTTACGTAATTGGTAACACACCCACCCCACCCCAACCCCACAGGTTTCAGAGTTCACAGCTCGGCTCAGGTTTTATTACCCATTTTTGCAACACTCATTATATCAGGGACCTATATAGGTCCCTGGTTATATGTAAACATGGTAAATGACCATTATATAAACACACTCTGATACACATAATCAGTACACACCTTGTTTTCATACACAACTAAATTACAGCTTTGTGTGTAACAACAAGCATTAACACATTCTTTCTGTGTTCTTCTGTTAAATGACTTCAAGAAGAAAGCACCATTGTTGATTGAGGCCTTGGAACGAATAATCAAGCTTGCATTAGGTCTGTATTGACAAAGGTTTCCTAGCGTATCTTCCATCAAATCATCCCGGTGTTCAGGCGTCTTGTCATTCTTTGCAGCTGAAGTGTCACCATCGGAATGATCCCCAAATGGATCATACTGATCTTTCACTTTCGACGGAGATTCGGCAGGGGCCTTCGGCTCAATGTCATTCTTTGAACCCAGGCGTTTTTCCACGAATTGCCAAAAATTGGGATCTTGAAGATACTGATCTAATCCACTTAGGTCCTCTTTTGTAAGCACTAAGACTAATAAAGAGGCGAAATAGAACAGTATTTTCATTGTTTACGTCTACACATTGACAAATGTCCTAAGAAAACGGAAATGCACAATACGCAAGTGCAAGTACTTTTCAGATTCATATTTCTACGATACGAAAAGAAAGTAGAGTCCGCGAATATTTCAAATCATTTTCTACTGTAAGTAGAAATTTAAAAAAAAAAAATGCGTGAAAAGAATGGAGAAAATATATAGTGGACAAGATCATGCAGGATTCCCTCCACTCTTTACCATCGATTCATACATTTAGATAGGATCTGAGAGAGAAACGAAAGACAACTCAGCTTCACCCTTTCAACGAATTCTAGACTATATGTTAGTCCGAAATATCTGACGTTTTCCAGGCTTTTTTCACGATTTTGATATTTTACGTGCCAGGAAAACGTCAGAACCGGCGCCATTACGAAAACTGGAAATTTCATCGTCTCCAACCGGAGCTGATTTTCGATACTTGCGAACTGAATTAAATGCCGAACTTACTATTTATCAGTACCACAATGCTTCTAGTACTCACCAATATCGATGAAAAGAAAATATCACTCCACATGGTCTTGCAAGATTTTAAAATGCACGAAATGAAAAGAAAACTCGACCGTCTGATAAAATGTTTTCACCAGCTTGTCTATTTCATAAACAAACCCGTATAAACGATGTTGGTGAGTACTAAAGACATTATACTATTGATAAGTTGTAAATTCAGCATTTAATTCGGTTCGCAAGTATCGAAAATCAACCCCGAGAACACTGGAGAATGCCGCCTCCAGTTGGAGGCGGCGAATTTCCAGTTTTTGTAATGGCGCCGGTTCTGACGTTTTTCTGGCACGTAAAATATCAAAATCGTGAAAAAAGCCTGGAAAACGTCAGATATTTCGGACTAGACTATATGTATGATACAGGTACCACAGAGATCTTATTTCTTTCTTCTTGGAAGTTTCTTCTGTGAATATTAGGGGCACACTTATTTTGTTAAATGGGCATACATGTATAAATGTATTTAAATCTTGGCTTCAATTCAACTTACAATATCTAGATTTATAAGACTTTTAAAATGTCTATGGAAGATACCCAGCTCATTTTGTATCAGAAAATGAAAATCATGGGGTTGTTAAAACTGTGCGACAGATTTATCAATGTGAGGTTAAAAAAAAGGGGGGGGGTGAATAGCCTTTATTTTTAATAAATCTTGAAACAGAGTAAGTCAAGTCACGTCACATCTTACTAACAACGTTTCTATTAGTGCAAGGGTAGATGAATAACAAAGTGTTAGGAATTTGAACTCATTAAAAAGGTATTGTTTGTACGAAGGCTAAAATATATTGGTATTACCATGGGTATAAAATGTAATCCATAATTGGTAATTTTGGGTGTTTAAAATAAAATCTTAATTTCATCAGTTTATTCGATCTTGTATTGTTCCATACACCTCTCTCTTCGTATCGGTATATATATACGAAGTGCAATGGATCATGGGACAAGACTATGAGCAATTTAAGATTTAGCTACAGCTAGGTGCCAACTCTTTCTTTTCGAAATGACTTTTTTGTAAAAGAGAAAGTATTACATCAATATGGGAGGATTTGATCGTACTACAAAAAAGGGGTAAGTGCTCTGTCGATTAAAATTTCTATACAAAAATAACAGCAAACAATTTTTTTTCTCGACTGAAAAAAGTAGGGGTGTGGGGAAGAAAGATGGTTAAATCAGGAATACCAGTCAACTCGGGAAACTTGGCACCTGTTCTTATAAATGAAAAAATAATATGATATAAATGTAAAATATTTTCAGATTTTTTTAATTTATCAAATGCATGATGAAATATGGCGTCTAAAAACGGTCATCATTCCGGAGTCTTTAATGATTGATTGATTGTTGTTGTTTTACGCCGAGTCGGCAATATTTCAGCCATATTTCGGCGGAGTCTTTAAAGTCAGACAAACCTTTTTAATATCTCACACTTTCAAATTAAATATATTTGGGGAAATGAGACTAAGATAAATATAGAAAAACAAAACTAATATTTTCAAACGTTTGTTTAAGCGGCTGTGAGATTGATAATTGTAAGCATGGATTTCAACAATTTGGGGAAACTTTGGCTGTTTTTGGTCAGTGTCAGGGTGGTTGATTGATTCTCGCTATCTGATAGAGTGTTTTCTTGAACACTTTTGCGAAAGAAAGGCAAATAGAGAGTTTTCGTCGTAAATTTGTTATTTTTTTAGACTGAAAAATAACACATATCAGTCGGTGAATTACTGTATTTCAATATGGGAATTTGTTCGGGTGAGATTCTTGAGTTTGGCATAGAATTCAAATCCCCCTTTTATTTTTACACTTGAAGAGAAATCGGATTTCAAATTAGATGACTTTCCCAACTAATTATTAATCTGTTTAGGGATGGAAATTTTGTTGCAAATATACATGAAATATTTTTGCAACAATATTTCTATTAGCATTTCAAATTTACAAAATAATGATTTAAATGTTCTATTAAATATCTATTAACTCATTTCCCACGTCAAACTGCGAGTTTCATATATAATGCATATAACATAAGACAAAGAAAAATCATTTACGCATGTAATTGATATATTTGCTAAAAGTGATTTATAGGTCCGATGGGCCGAGTGTTGAACGTATATGCTTATTTGTCTAAAGAATGTAAAATTATTGCATACACAAGTCACTGAATATACTTACTCTACCGGAATAGTAATTTCGTTTTGAAGAATATATTCTGAAATATAGAGTAACCGTAAACGTAAACAAAAGAGCACCTGTGGCATATAATATAGTCCATTGTAAATATTTAATTTGCGTCACTAAAACTCTAATTTTTGTTTTATAATTTATTATTTTTTTTAGTAACACCTTTATAGAAGCAAATTCTGTTTTAGAAAAATGTTTGTCATTTCCTGTTAATGATAGTGCGCATGAATATCTTTATTCCAGTTAATGAATGGAGACAGTAGTAAGTGTTAGATATGGCGACGTACACGGAGTATAATCAAGCAAGTTCCGTGGATTCTTACAGAAATACTCCGAAACAGAATATTTCCTCTGGACGACCAAACTCTTCAGAGACACATGTTAGTTTTAATCATAAAAATAAAGAGGAGGAAAAAGACAAACGTCAGAAATATTTGACAGCTAAGTACGGACAACACCAAATGATGTTGATTCGCAAAAGATTGGCAGTAGAGGACTGGCTTTATGATAAGTTGAGAGAACTCCACAACTGTCAGGTATGGATACAACCTGTTGATGTATATTCATTGTAATTTTTTTAACGTTTGAAGTCATTTTTCTGCATAACAAGGACACTATGCAAAATTTTAATTTGGTAGTTTCAAAATCGACGAATTACTCGATTCCAAGTATGATAATGGTTCCGAAACAGAATATTTCCTCTGGACGTTTTTTTTTTTTTTTTTAGAAAGAGGTGCAGATTTGAAAATTTGGACAAGACATGTTAAAATTGATTTTAATATGCCAAGGAGAATTTTAAAAAAAAAAGTGTAAATAGTGATTATTTGCAAATACAGTTTCTAAAGGTCAAAGGAGCTGAGAAAATAGGCCTAGTTTTTTTTTTAAGTTAATAAAAAAATTTAGTCATAGGATGTTGCAAAAACATGATAAAGAGCAGTTTAAATTGATATACTGCAGTTAGTTTAATATAACTTGTTTATATCCACAGTGTATCTTGATTCTCTTTCCCAGCTCATTATTCTTTAGATGTTACAAAGTCACTTTGAAAGTGCGTAGTTTTATGCTGTCCTCATGGGCTTCATCATTATAATACTCTGTAATTATTGAAAAATTGTTTGCTCATTTAAATTTTTCAGGTTTGTACTTATAAAAAATAAATGAAACACACCACTGCATACTTTTATCATAAAGCATGACTTGTAGTCTGTGCAATATTATAAACATATTGCAAAAAGCATGGCGAGTTAAGAAAAGGTGTGTGCAAAAAAGAGCAGAAAAGAAAATATTGACTTAATGCATATCTCTACTTATAGCATGACCTTGGTGTCAAATTTTATTTATTTAACACTAATCTGACCTCATTTACAGCTTATTTACTGTTCTTGATATACCAAATAAACTGTAAATTGCTCAATTAGCAGTCAGTTAATATATACATGTATATTTCCTATCGATAAGGGAACACGTGCATTGGCTTTTCTTCTTTCATTTCCTATAAAGTACAGCAAGTTCTATGTAAATCTGTTGTAGATTATAATTCAAACTTAAAAATTGGATATATGTTCTACGTATGATAAAAATGATAAAAGTGTTAGATAATCTATGTATCTGTGAGAGGAAATCTTCCCCATTGTTTGATATTCACACAGCCATTTTCAGAATACTTTTAGTACATACAGACACTAACAGAGCAATAATTTTCTCCTCCTGGGAAATTTCCTAAGCCATATGGTAGAGCTATTGATGTATTTTATGCATGGTGGTGTTTAGGGCAGTTGACTTTATGACCAGAAGGAATGCATGCAAATTTGAACACAATGCTTTGTGCTTCTGATTTTACTCAGACCACTGTTTTAGCAGATGCCTATTTGGTTATTCATGGTCAGGGAGCACTGACAGACCATAAGCATCTATCCAACGGGCTCTTGGTTTTTGATGCTCAAGTTTGTGGGTCATTCTCCTTAAGTGGTTTTGTAACTAACAAAAGACTAATAAAAAAGAAGGAGAAAAAAAACTTTGTTTATGGGTCCATTAACAGGTGTTTGTATATATGTCACTCTTCAGTAAGGGAGGAAAATATTAATTCAGATAATGGATGATAAGTGAAACAAGTATCTTCCTAGTAATGCAGACATGTTTCTGGGTGCCACCCAGTTATAGGGGCTGATTTCAATATTCCAGAGTCAAGTACTACAGGGGGTTTGTCCATAAAGTATAGCCTCTTGTTTGCCTGATCTTCACTGTTTCAATCCAGGTGTTATTGTTAATTTTCAGTTTTCCTTATACAAATGCATACCTTTCCTGTTTTGGGATTTCATTCAGATTAATGAAGATGGATTTTTTTTTTGTATGTGGGTATTGTTTTACACATTTGCAGAGGATTGTTTTGTGGGATGTGAATTATGCATGGGCTCCAGTGATAAAAGTGATGTAATGTGGGAGGTGTAAAACACTGGTCTCACATTCAACAGGATATCGATTTAGGATGAAAAAGCCGAAGCTTGATTTTACTTACATATATATAAGTATATTCAACTGAATATTTTTCTAGGTGAAATATCAAGACAACATGCAGTTATAGTACCCTAAAAGGAAACTGTCGAGTCATTCCAAAAATGCATGTACACTCATATATGCACATAGCCCTGTATATATCTGTCAATGAGTAATCTTTGGAATACAATAAAAATTTACAATGCCCTGTAGAGTTTTTTTCCCCCAGGAAGACATGTTACAACATAACTATACCTGGGATATCTTCCTGTTATAGATAAATTAATATGAGTCCAGCACATGTATTTCAAAATTCTTTTGATTCTTATTGGATTATACAATCAAAGTTAAAAGTCTAGGTCTTATTGAAATAATCTATGAGAGAAGTCACATTAAAATTAATGACGGATTACAGTAAAGAAATATTGTCATTATGGGATTTGAAGTAGATAATACCATACAATTAAGGGTTCTCTAATGCCTTAGTTTGCATGACAATACCCTGCTTTCCACCCCTCCTAAATACCGAAATGACCATGTGGGTTGCTTGGTTTATATTTTTGTAACTAACAGCTTTTATAGTTTTGTACACTGTTGTTGGGTAGTCCAGCTTTTGATAAGGCTGATCTTATACCCAACCGTTGGTCAAAGTATTGACAGAATTAAAGCCACTCTGAATGCAGTTCTATTGTCCCAGTGCTTTGCCAATCAATAGGGAGGGTTTTTACTTTGATTTGAATTGATCAGTGTATTCAGTTTTTAAATGGATACAGGGCTGCATGTTTACCCTTGATATTCGTGGCAGATGGTACTGTTTATGAAAAGGGTGTCACATTTTGTGATGAAAGGGGGGAACACTTCTCTTGCCTTTGTACCTTGACCTTCTATAAAGGGTAGAATGCAGCCTTAGCAGCTTGCATGCCAAAATTATGTGTGTGCTTTTTTTTTTTCATCAGCAGATTTTAATTTGTGTAGTAAGATTATGCAATTACAAACATGAGGGGAAAAAAACCATCTGCTGAATCTAATGGATGAGTGTTAATATTAGGAATATGGAGTATCTCTGTTTTAACTTTGAATGGATTATTGAAAAGTATAAGAAATTTACAAATAGCAGAAATGTGTTTTTCAGCTAAAAAGCTCACGTCATATGTTTTGTCAAAGTTTCATTATGAAATTCGAAGTAAACATTTTCCAGATCAGTTGAAAAACTCTTTCTGTGTAGGTTTTTGCAAAATGTTTATCGTCAAAGAAGTTAGTGCATGAAATTGATGATTAATCCATGTGGTTATGAGCCCAGGAGCAAAAAGTGATCTAACAAACATGCTAAAGTGCATGTGGTCTTGGATATGGAGTGAAGTTTTCTAGCTTGAGAATTTTGAGAGGTACATACAATACAAGTGTGCTAGAGGGAGTGTATGTTTGTCAAATTAATTAATGCATAAAACCAAAGACATTCCCATCATGGTAAAGGGATTGTATTAAAGTCAGATTAATTAATGCAAAAGCATGTGAAAACAAAGACACTCATCACATGACTCAAAAGTTATGACAAAGAATTATGTGATCAAAGAAACGCACACAGAGATATGACAAGATGTTTGTACACACAATGACAAAAGATAAATACATGTAATGAAATATATATATATAGATTTTTTTAAATCGAGATATAGGATTGAATTACTTCCATTCTTTCAAATCAAACTAATCTCAAGTGTGAGCTTAGGTAAACAGAAAGGTATCAACTGATAAGGGTAGTAATAATCGAGGGGGAAATAATGGCCCTAATTCATGTTAGCACGGTCTATGGCCTAGTCACCTCTACCAGGGAATGCTATGGTCTTCCTGCCCTTGAGTCAGAGAGAGAGGTGATAAAAAAGAAGTAGGAGTGGGCCAGTCTTAGTGTAAAACTTGTCCAGTAGTGGACGTTTATCTGTAGAGCATACTGGTCCCAGCATATCTGCCCCCTAGTGGACATTAATCTCTTCTGTTATGTTACAGTTGTCAAGCGTCTTCATTTATAAGAGAGGACAGCCACTAGTATGTATTGACAAATAGATAAAGGAAGTTGTTGTCTTCTTGTGTGGAAAAATCTGTATCTTTGCTGTACCGGGTAATTGATTAAATAAGATACCTATAATATACCTGTAATATATTCAAATAAATACTAGTAAACTGCTGTAGGTAAGTATGCACCCCAGAGCATTCAGTGCTGATCAGCATTCTAGAAAAAAATAATTTTAATTACCTTTTATAATTATAGATATGCATGATAGTTTTGAAGGATTACATGTCATATCAAATGTCTTCAAATTCTATCAGTTGCATGAACATCCTAATATTCTGAGCTAGTCAGAGAAACTAGGGGATGGAATAGCAATTTAGCGATATCAACAAACACAGTACAGGCATTGAGGCCATGGCTGGGTGGGTACATGTATATATATCGCTACCGCAGTAAGGTCACTGGAGACAGAGATAATAGAAAACAAACAACTCTTTCAAAAACAGTTTCTTATCAAGCTGTAATTGAATTTACATAAAACATTACACCAATAAATTTGTTTACGGAAGAACTAAGACCCCTCTAAAATCCATTCCTATCAGCTTATACAAGCTGAAAAGAAAAAAACAAGGTTTATAATTTTTAAACCTCTTTCAAAATGTAAAAGTAATGTTATGCAATTGCATGTTTTTTTTTCTAAGACATTTTTTTTCCCCCTGAGATTAAGTGTTTTGATAAGTGTCTCGTAATGACATTTCTTAAGATTTGAGTGATACAACATGTGATAAAACATGACATGAATAATATTTACATATTTTTATAGGAGGACGACCAAGACCATGACTGCAACTTAGATCTTGAGGATGTTTTAAATCTTGACACAGACATTGAAAGAAGAGAATATGCACAGGTATGAAATTGCAAAGAATACAGAAAACAAGTTTACACATAAAAATACTGAACAAACTGTGTATATGGTTGTGCATACAAATGGAACTTTAACAAAAATAAATTACTGGGAGGTGGGCATTCTACCTGTTTCTCTTGTTAGCCATTACCTTTACAATTACCGTTACTATAAAAAATGAAAAAAATTGCAACAGACTTTAAATTTTCACTCATTTAGTCATTAATATAGATTATAGCAAAATACTTGTAGTTAGTACATAACAATGATCATGCTATGCTACAGCTTTCAAAAAATGTTGATATGTGTATATGTGTACGTTGTATTGATTGCTTTTTTTTTTTTTTTTTAGAAAGAGCTGGTCACTGCACGGGTACCCAGGGAGGAAGTAGAGGTAACATAAAACATTTAAAAAAATCTCTCATTAATACTTCTTTTGATTGAAAGGAGGCACATGAAAAACGATCTTATAGCTTTGTCAGTAGTTCCTCATTTTCTTCATTGCTGCAGACTCAGTCATGTGTTAAGTACAAGTCTTCTCTGGCTGTCAAATTTCCGTGTAATGTACTGCGTAAAAAATTTTAAGATGTCTGGCAGATTAATCAGGTCGGCAGTAATGTGGGATGGCTGTCTGTCGAGGAGGCAAATTTTGTTCTTGACTGTACAGCTCTGTAGTTGTCAGGTGTCAGCATCAGCCTCTCAAGTATCATTTGTGATACAGTGTATCATCATGTTAGTAGCACATGCAATATCTGATGCAGATATCAGATATTGTATCAGAGTAATACATATGATATCTGATGCAGGCTTAACTGATATCTGTGCTTGAGAAAAGAATGCATTCAGTAATGTGTGATAATACATGTATACTGTGAATACAATCATGTATTAGATACTAAATAATGCCAGCTAGATTAGCAATGACGTGATAAGTACTCTGAAACTTTTTTTTAACCCCCCCCCCCCCCCCCCCCATATACACAAGCATATATGCTTGTACTAAACAGCTGCTAAACAAATGTGATACTCAATACCAATATATATATTTCATGGCTTTTTTTAATAACTAGTATAAGTTGTATAAATGTATACCATCTCAAACTTGGACCCCCTTCCCTTTTGATTGCTATCAGAAAACATATGCAGAGAGATAACATCTAGCTATTCCAGATTAAGTGCATTTGAAATTAATGTCTTTGGAATTTTATTTTTCAGAGATTTATAGATGAGCTGATAAAGAAGTCAAAAACATTGTAAGAACAGTAAATCTGGTCTCAGTGTGTTTGTGAGTGAATGCAAGAGACAGTGGATTTAGCATCAGGGACTTCATACAGTTTTCGCAACAGGGATTTTTAAGATGTCAGACACTGTACACAATTTTACTCTATTCAGAAACAGTCAGCTGATAACTGCTTCTAGATTTAGTTTACTGAACTTTTGCATTTAAAAAGGGTGTATATTTATTTTCCTAAAAATTAAGATTATCATTGAATTAATATAATTTTGTTAGCAATGTTCAAGGTACTAAAGCCATCCATAAGTAAATAATATCAGTATTAATAAATTGTTACATCATTTAGAAAGTTTAATAGCTAATATAAAAAATTCAGATCTATGCTTTTGCTTCCCATAGATAAAATGGGATAGAAATGACATTGTAGGTTTCTGTAGTAGATAAATGACAGATATTATTTTATTTTTCTGAGTTGAATGAAATTTTCAAAAAGATGTCAGAAAGGTACATGCTACAGCTTTGATGCATTTTGAATGTTTGTCTTTGACTTAAAAAAAAAATTAAATGAAATTGTAAAATAAGAATATGTCAGGAAAAAAGTATAAAGGGATCTGCCCTATAAGTCATGCAGTAATTGCATTTATATTATAGTGACACAATTACTAAATATAGTTAAGAACAGTGTTGAAGAATAAACAAAAATTCTTAAGTACAAGTAGATCTTGTGTCAACTGAATTTTAGCATTTTTTCCCTCTAACTTTGATGTACATATTAATTTTTGTTCATTGGCATTTAAGACCATTTGTCATATATACCTCAAGTTTCATTTGAAATCCCTCCAACTTTTGGATCAATAAGAGCAGTATTTATTAAGGAAGCTCTTTCTGTAAATTTTTGACCACTTATTTTTTGTTTCCTATGTTTTTTTTTATGTATTGTAGATATATTTTTAAGCTTACTGGTAAACTTTTATGAATGCAGTCCTTTGTTTTATGTTCATTTTAGTTCACCTCTTCATAAAAAAAAAAAAATTGACCCCCTCCCCCATGACTTTAAATTATCATTTGTATCCATATGATTTATTGAATAGGGCACATAAATATTATCCTGTGAACAAATTTACAAACCTGTGATGGTTTATCCAATGTTGATAAAAATAGAATAACCATATAATTATACACAACATGAGAGGAGAGTTTAATACATCCACATTTTTTTAAAATGATTATTGTGAAAGGGGTGATTTTTTTTTAAATTTGTTCAGTTGCATCAGCTTTTTTTCTTCTTGAAAAGATTCTTTTTTTTTTTTAAATTGTTATGTATATGGACCCAAAAGTTTGAAGTGTTGCCGTTTTAATTCCATTTTAGATTTACTCAACATGCGATGAAATGATGGTGATTCTTGGTTTTAACCTAGTTTCTGTATGTGTCCTTGACCTAGTTTTTTGTAGGGTTGTGATTTTACATGTTGTTATGTAGTACCCTTTAGTTCATTCCACATTATTTCCCACCCCTCCTCATTTTAAAACGTTTAGTATGTACTGTAGGGAGTTTGTTTTGTTTTCACTATAATAGATCAATGTTGTATCCAGACATAACGTTTTCCGGCCAAATATTTTTGTGACATTTATCGTAAGGAATCTGACAGTGATGTGTTAATTGCTTGTTTGTACATTTGTTTGTTGTAAATTCGCAAATTTATTGGCCTTTTAACATGTAATTACAGCAATAATTATTTTGCGTTTTGTTATCAGCTATGTGCCAATATACTCATTGTGTACTAAAATGTATTCACTATCTTGCTGTAAATTGGCATTTTGTTTTGGATTTATATTTGAGATTGATGAATTCAGTACAGTACTATATTTGGAATCTATTTTTTGAAAAGAAATCTTCTTAGTTGATTTTGTTCAAAGATTTTGGAAAAGAAATCTTCTCAGTTGATTTTGTTCAAAGATTCTGGAAAAGAAATCTTCTCAGTTGATTTTGTTCAAAGATTTTGGAAAAGAAATTTTCTCATTTGATTTTGTTCACAGGTGTATGGCTCATCATGATTTCTTTATTTTGCCTTTCAATTCTCTTTGTAAGAAAGCTTATGTACCAGCTAAGGCTGACATATAAAAAGAAAAGTTGTTGAGAAAATCAGCTGAAGAGAGCAAGATATTCACTAGTTTTCACATATAACAGTATGACACGTTACATATTAATATTTTACAATACATTACAGTTCATGTTATGCACCTACATTTCTAATGTTTGAGACTAAAATCTTCATTACAGTAAATGAGAGATTATGCAGGATCAGCAACTTCTGAAAATGTGCTTTGTAAAGAAAATTATTTTGTATCAAAACATTTTTTCAAGTCATTGGGTATCATTGACTATAAACTTGTGATTTCTTATGTGGTAAAGTTCTGATTGTTCAAACAAGCTGCAAAAGACAGTTATAAGTCAAAAGATGGAGTAAACATAAGAAATGCACATCTTAATGATAACATCATGTATTACACACTGAACATATAAGGGCTGAATAAGTTGTGTTGTTATGATAACATTATCATGTGACCACCATGTCTCCATGCTCTAACAGGAAGTGTACACCCTGACAGAAAGTGCATATACTGACAGGAAGTGTATACCCTGTTCACAACTAGTCACAGACACATTGTATATTTTCTATACTGCTGAATGGATACTTTTTTTTTTGCATGTTAATAGGTGATTTTATTACAGCAATAATTTGTTTAAGATTTAATTGTGTAGAAATTTTGATTTTACAATAAAGAATTTTTTATCTCGTAAATTTTGTTGTGCGAGTGTTATTTTTGTGGGATCTTCATAAGGTATATTTCTTTATGATCTATTCAAACTTCATGTAAACTTGCGATAGATATATTGCAAAACAAAGGACAAAAAATTTAGGAGTGTCACACAAAGGTTCAAGTTTTCAAATTGCATGAACAGAGGTGTTTTTAGGGACTCGTAATAATATTGTGTAGCTCTTTTTGTATTATTGCATGAAAATCTGTAAAAAATTTGTGTCAGTGTTAAATAGATAAGGGAGATACTATATACAGGGTTAGTTTTACCCCATGTTATTTTCGCTCAGTCACACTTGCAAACGGCCTTGCTGCACCTTAAATTCCTCCAGAACAAGTTGTGTAAAAGAGATAACTCTGTCTTCTTAGAATTTGCCATTTTAAATTCCCCCACTTGCAACAAGTGCTAATATAAAGGGGTGAAAATAAAACTTGGGAGAAAATTTCCCTCTTTACAGTAAATTCAGAAATTATCTCAAAAACAGTATGAGTAGGCAGAAATTGGGATATATATATATATATATATATATATATATATATATATATATATATATATATATATATATATATATATATAGATAGATAGATAGATAGATAGATAGATAGATAGATAGATAGATAGATAGATAGATATATATATGCTAGAAAGAAAAAAATTATTTAATATAAGATCTTTCAATTGTAGTGCCAGAATATTTAAAAGTCTAACTTCCGTACTTTAAATAATGCTGCTTAAATCAATGAGTATCATGTTGATTATGCCAAAAATCATGGTTTATTCTAGAATTCTACTTTTTCATATTTTTCTAACATTTTCTAAGGCACAAAAAAATTCTCGTGAAAAAATATAGGAAGAAAACTCCTTGCTTA